GAAATTACTTGAAATGAGCTTAGAACTAGATTAGAACTGAAGTCCGGCTTTAGTGATGCTAAAAAACGAAGTTGTTGTTTTTGCATTGAAAGAAATTGTTTTATAAATAAACAGTTCTTACTTTTTTCATTAGTTGGTATAATTTTGTTTTCTGTTTATTGTATTTATGGAATAGTGTTTTCAGCTTCATTGCTGCATGCCAAAAACTAAACCAAATGTGCGATTTGTAAGTAAGCTAGTTTTAATATTAAAGCTTACAGTGACACGAGTTTGTTCTTTTAGACATGTTTTATATTGAAAATCGTTCAAAAAGAGGTTAAAAATGTACTGATGTATACTTTGACACTCGTATTTCATAGTGTGTTTTATGTTTAACGTATTTGTATAGCAGAAACTGTAGCATAGCTCGCTGGTAGCGATATCAACCTTACGCCTAATCAAGATACACGATTCTCATGAACTTAGCAAATTTTCAAGGGTTTTCAAGCTCTGTTTAGCACTTGAAATCATGGAGACTTTTTGAGACTTTTTTGACTGTAACTTCGTATGACTTATTTTCTATAGATCTGACTCAACAAAACTTTTAAAATAGCTCAGAGAACAGGTGTAAAAACAGCACTTTTTTTGAACCGATCGTCATGTTATATACTTAAATTGAAACCGCGAATGTCAACTACAAAACAGCAATTTTCTCATACTTTAAACAAACATTACTTCAAAAAATTAAGAGAAATACAAAGAAAATCAATCAGACAGCAAATATTTTCGGAACTTCCCTTGTTAAGATGCAAAAAAGACAATTTTCTGGACCGGAAACTTACTACCCGGCATATCACCGGAAATAGCAGCCATTTTGTCCACAAACCACTTGAACCTCCTCTGGGTGAAGAACTGCAAAGATTACATTAGTTAAGAAAGCTCTATGTTGTCACGTGGAATATGAAGTATAGAAACTCCTTTAAGGTCCCAATCCGACAAATTTCAAGACATCTAAAGAAAAATTAAGCTTATACCGGCGCAAAACTGTGGAACTCGCTACCACAGCATTTTGAAGGGAAGGAGTTGCTCAATACGTTAAAACGTTCATAATGATACTGAAACACTTACTGTATTCTGTAGTAACAGTGAAACTACCATACCAAGTGTGAGAAAAGCGATAAACAAAATATCCACCGCAATTTCTTATAACGACTCTTGTTAAATGGAGACAGCAATCACTGATCCAACCTCTGATCCATACATGACGGCATAATTCTCTGTAAACTTGTCCATCTGCTACTGTGGGCAAATGCAATATGCCTTTGATCCAGACAAAAAAAATGTTCCGACCAAAGTAATACCTATGGCATGTCGTAGAAACTTGATTACCCGCAAGCCCTGATATGCGAAACCATGTTGACAGAGTTCTGTCATCTGGCAATGTACCAGTTGCACGTCGTTGGTCCTTTCTACGACCAAGTGCATCCAAATTGGTATAGTTAAGGCACTCTCTGCTTGATTTGTCACCTTTATTGGAAAACATATTTGATATTCTTAATCAGTGAGTAGAGGTTTTTTGCTAAGAAAGAGATTGCAAATATCATGATATTTTTGTCACAACTTCTATAATTCACATTTACTCACCGGTCGGAATATTTTGACATTGGTATTTCGAAAATGTAATGTCATCTACTGATATCTTAGCAAACCATTTACTTTCCCATTTCATTACCACCTGAAATAAGAATTGATTAATCGAAATTAAGTCTGTATTCAGCAGTTGCTATTCGGGGACTAAGTAGACTATTAAATACATATTAATGTTCGACGATCTCTCACAAAAATGTTCAAGAAAATTCAATGAATATTTAAGGATAACCATTTTTTTTCTAATTAACAGCACATTAGTTAATGGTTTCATATGAATTTTCATGAGATTTGACGTTATTTGTGATATTTTCAAGATCATCAAAAGGAAATCCAAATATGGACGACCTGGCGTCACGTGATATGATCAAAATGCATTTCCAACCAAAGTAGAAACACAAAAAGTATAAAAAACGATAAAAAATAAATAAAATAAAAATGAAATTTTATTGAATGAGAAAGACAAGAAACGAATGAGTTTCAAATTTGTATTACCACGACGTTTCGGGGTCGTCATGACTCCATTATCAAGTGTATATGGAGTCATGACGACCCCGAAACGTCGTGGTAATACAAATTTGAAACTCATTCGTTTCTTGTCTTTCTCATTTACTATTTTATGTTTTTCTAAACAACTCCTGATAAAATTTTATTGAAAGGCTAAATTTATAGAATAAATGCGGTGAACATTGCAGAAGCCGCAATTGCAACAACTGGACTCAAATGTTATAACTACTGGTCTCGCACCATAACTATTCATTCTGACCACAAAGAAAACTAGCTGTAAGGGTTATCATTTTTGTATTCAGCAAAGCTCAAAAGTGTGTGATATATATGACTTTGCTGTTTCAGTGTGTAAATTATTTGAATCCAAATGAACTTCTTCCAGATCCAGGTACTTTTCCAATTCAGATCGAAGATTTTATTAATTATATA